GATAATATGTGGTATGTTACATTGCATTCATCTACATCTGAAAAAAATCAGAAAAACACAATCCATAGCAAAGAGAAATTTTAATAAAATAGATATGGACTCAAAATGACATAGATAAAAGAATCTGTAGAAGAGAGCATTCCTTAGGTGAAGGTAGAGGAAAATTTGAGTACATTGACTACAATGTGGACTATATAGGAAAGACCCAAACCAAACTTCTAGAGATAAAAACTGTCATGTGTAATATGAAAAACATACCAGATGGGATTAAGATCAGAATAGCCACTTCAGAGAAAAATAAGTTGCTTTAAAGACATGATAACTATAAAAAATGAAACACAGACAAAAACGACCAAAAATAATGAACAAAGAATCAGTGAGCTGTATGCAACCAAAAGCTCCATACATATGTGTAAATGAAGTCCCCAGCTGAGAGGAGTAAGAGTGTAAAAAAAAACCTACTTGAAAACTAATAGCCAAAAATTTCTCAAATTTTATAAAACCTATGAACCCAGAAATTCAAGAATCTCACTGAACTTCAAACAGAAGAAACATAAAGAATTCGACACTGAGACATCATAATAAAATTGTGTAAGAGTAGCGGCAAAGAAAAAAAATCTTCAAAGCAACCACAGAAAAAAGACATACTGTGTATAAAGGCACAAAGATAAGAATGATTACAGCAGTTTTCTTGGAAAAAGACAATATAAGAGATATTAAAGTAGAGTAATACCATTAAAAATAGCAAAATAAATAAAATTTATTGACCTAGAATTCCATCTCCACTGCAAATGGTAATATGAAAACATTTTTAGATGTAAAAAAATTAAAAAAATTATCACCAACCTAACTCCATTACAAGGAAGTCATTCACGAATAAAGGAAAATGATACCTGTCCCAAATCTGAATTAGCACAAAGGAATGAAGAGCACTAAAAATGCTTAACTACATAGTTATATACACAATACATCTTTTGCTTATTATTTATCCTTTAAAATATTTGATTATTTAAAGAAAGAATAATAGCAATGCATTATAAACTTCAATAATATTTTCTTTGAAGTCAACAGTGATAAGTCAAATATACATACTATAAATTAGAAGCAAGCGCTAAAGAAGCAAAAGAGTTATAGTTAATGGGCCCACAAGAATGGAACATAAATGATTAAAAATAAGTAATCCTCCCAAAATTCAGAAAGAGAAGTAAAAGGGGCATAAAGAACATATGGGACAACAGACAGAACAACAACAACAAAAAACCCACACACAAATAGTAGGATGGTAGATATAAACCCAATCATATCAATACTAACATTAAATGTAAATGGCCTAAACACCTCAATGAAAATTCAGAGACTGTTAGATTGGATGAAAAAACTAGACCCAATTACATGCTGCCTACAAAAGTCCACTTAAATATAAATACATAAACAGTTTGAAGGAAAAATATGTCTCATGAGAGCCTACAAACAAAAATCAGGCTGGAGTTGTCATTAATACCAGACACAATGCAGATTACAGAGCAAAGGATATCAGCATTGATAAAGAAAAATAGTTTATAAATGATAGAGCAGTTAATTCATCTAGAGGACATAACAACTCTAAATTATTATGCACCTTATAACAGAGTCTCAAATTACACAGGGGCAGAAACTGCTGGAACTAATAGGAAAGAAAAATATTCACAAGTATAATTGCTTAATAAAGCAAAAGCTCAGGCATCTCTTTTTCTGTTGTTTTTCTTTTCCCTCGAAGTCAGTCCTAACCTTAGCTCACAGGATAACAATTCTCAGACCTCCATGATTAAACGCTGAGATTCATGCCTGCAGCTATAGCTGTGTTGATCGGAAATTTTAGGACTGTGCCCTATCTCACTATAGTATTCTGCTGTTGCATTGAAGAGCTATGATTTCCCAGAAGCCCTTGTTTTTTGGTGGGGGAAGTGTGACTTCTCTGCGGTAGTGTGTGCCAGCTTCAAGTCAGGCTCAGACTCGACCACAGCTTCCTTTCTCCATTCTGAAAAGCCAGGTCTTTGCTGTTTCTGGCAATATTTATCTGAGTGTCTGAATGGAACATTTAACTCCCTCATTAAAAATTAGCTTTGACTTTTCTTGTTAACTTAGTTCTCTTGCTGTCTTCCCTCATTAGTAAAATTGAGATGATACCTGACACTGACAAAATGTAGAGGATGAAGGAATAGACTGTATCTGTAAAGTACATGGAAGAAATGCACTGAGCCGCTGTCCGTGAACATTAAATGACATGGGTAATTAAGAAGCAATTTGGATTATTCTGACGCAAATAAAGTATTTTTTTTTAAAATACAGAAGATGGAGGAATCGTTTTTGATTGAATGCTTGGATTTAATGTTGGTAGAATGAATGGCCACGTGGTCCTTTATTTCATCAATTTGATTTTACAAGTGATAACTCAGGTTATAAAACTCAAGATGCAATGTGAAAGGGTTATTAAAAAAGGGGGAATAAAGAGGGGAGATTTTTAGGTTTTTGGTGAAAGATACATATATATTTACTCCAATGAAGTCTTTTCTCCTCTAGTTCAATAATATTATTAATCTTTCCTAAAAGATTCTTCCAAATAGCCTTAGAAAATCCACCAGGTGTAAGACAGTGCGTGTGCTTTGGACCTCGGGGAGTAGAAAATGAGAAAAGAGTTACAAATAGTAGGGTATGTATTATTAATGAATCCCCCTGAGCTGTCCTTAAAGATGGCTAGAAAATGCCTGTAGGTTGAAAAGGCACTAACCTAAAAAAAATCATGAAAGATAAAACTATTCTTCCTGATCTATTCTGAGTAATGATCTTAGGGAATGACATTTCCTCTCCCCGCTCACTCCTCCCTGGCAACCAATGCTCATGCTGAATGACTCTAACTCTCCCACTCAGGATTTTCTCCGCATTCTATTATAGCCCAAACCATTTACATTTTTTTGCCTTTCACAATGAATTGAATGTCACTGTGTTGTTTATATTTTTGATTCAAATTAATTAATTTTTGTAAACAAGTATTTTATATAATTCCATGCATTTGTTGAGTGTTCTGAGTTTAGAAACCTAGAACCTTCAACTATTTTTTTAAAACTGTTTGACATAGTCCACTATTTTTAACTGTGTTGATTATACTCCACTTTTAGGTAAAGAAGATAACATACTTGAATACTATAAATGTCATAGTTTATAAAAACACAATTCAAAGTCCGTGTAACTATATTACATACATTTGCTAAACTGCTGATGTACAAAATGGTAAAAAAGAACAATGCCTTATTTACATGTATGTTTTACCTTTAAAAATTGCAAAAACTTGACTTTTATTATCTCAGTATATCTCATACAAATATTGTGAGGTAGCAGCATGCTATTCCACTTTATAGATGAGAAAACTGAAGCTCATAGTGTCCCATAGCCACTGTGCCACCTATGACAGTGATCCATTGATAGACACAGAATTCAAACCCTCATTTAATACCAATGGATTCTGAACAAATTTAATCATAAATAGAACACCCATTTTCTTAATCATTTTTTTACTAAGCAGTCAAAAATAAAAATATTTCTAATTAGTATTATAGAAAAGATATTTTTTTCTTTTAATCTTTATTGTTAAAAGGATTACATAGGTTCTCTTGTTCTCTT